TGCTACTGTCCTGGACTACAAGTCTAATGTAATGTGGAGGTGAAGCAATTCATCCCCCTCACCAGGGTGTAACAACTTCCATATCCTCTTTCTTGTTGGAATTGTTTACAAATATCAGTTCAAATTAAATACTGTCCCTCATGGCTTTTATGTACTGTGGATGAAACATTGCATGTACCAACCCTCACTGTAAACTTCTTTAATCTCATACATACAAAACAGCTGCATAGTATTGCTAAATTCTGAACTAAAGGTTAGTAAGCTTAGGGCAACAACAAAGCCTGTTTAAAAGTCTTTTTAATATGTTATTCTGATTTTTAAATCACTTTTTTCTGTTTTTGTTCTGGCTATTGACAGCTTTCAAGACCTACAGTTGCACCTTCTGCTGTGGGGCACACATTTATGGCCAATTCTAAAAAGTCTATAATGGGAATAGTTTCTTTTCATTAGTCTATTTAGAAGAAAAAAAAAGGATCGTATGAGGAAGAAGCTGTTCATGCAACAAGGATTTATTTGGCCCTCTTAAAGGCCGCTAATAATGTCCTTTTTTCCGTTTTCTCCAATGTCATGTATTCTATTTTCAGGGTGAAGCACGTATGGAAAGAAGAGAGGCAATTGTATACAGCCATTTGATTTCAGATTAAAATTATGTGTGCACCAGAACTGATATTTATGCAAACTGCATGAGAATTTTTTCAGAGGGTCTATCCACTCTGAGACCTCCCCCAGCACAGACTTTCCAAACTCGATTGCGAGCTTTGAAGTACCAATGGCTGCCAAGTGGCTCAGACCAATTTTGCACAGCAAAATACTTTTTTATTTTTATGGTGTGTGGCCTGATAGACTGTTGTCTGAATTCTTAACACTGCTCCTGAAAAAATAAAACCTAGGTTTGCTTTGTTTGGATAAACTGTTTCCCCACCTCCGCCCGATGCTGTTCTGCTGTTCGCTTGCTTCTCCAGTCAAGACAAAAGCCCTCAAAAAGTGAAGCCTCTTTCCCCACCACCCCATAAACAAGTACACCTTCCACCCCAACCTTAAGTTTACCTGGACCATCTCTAATACCTCTCTCCCCTTCCTGGACCTCTCGGGCAACCACCCAGAAACCGATATTCATTTCAAGCCCACCAACTCCCACAGCTACCTAGAATACTCCTCCTCCCACCCACCTTCCTGCAAAAATGCCATCCCCTATTCCCAATTCCTTCACCTCCGCTGCATCTGCTCCCAGGATGAGGCATTCCACTCCCGTACATCTCAGTTGTCCTCGTTTTTCAAGGACCGTAACTTCCCCCCCTCAGTGGTCGAGAACGCCCTCAACCGTGTCTCCCACATCTCCCGCAACTCATCCCTCACACCCCGTCCACGCAATAAGAACCAAAAAAGAATCCCCCTCGTCCTCACGTACCACTCCAACCTCCGGATCCAACGCATCGTCCTCTGACACTTCCGCCATCTGCAATCCGACCCCACCACCAAAGATATCTTTCCCTCCCCACCCTTATCTGCTTTCCGGAGGGACCACTCTCTCCGTGACTCCCTTGTCCGCTCCACACTCCCCTCCAGCCCCACCACACCCGGCACTTTTCCCTGCAACCGCAGGAAGTGCTACACCTGCCCCCATACCTCCTCCCTCACCCCCATCCCAGGCCCCAAGATGACTTTCCGCATCAAGCAGATGTTCACCTGCATATCTGCCAATGTGGTATACTGCATCCGCTGTACCCGGTGTGGCCTCCTCTACATCGGGGAAACCAAGCGGAGACTCGGGGACCGCTTTGCAGAACACTTACGCTCAGTTCGCAATAACCAACTGCACCTCCCAGTCGCGAACCATTTCAACTCCCCCTCCCATTCCTCAGACGACATGTCCATCCTGGGCCTCCTGCAGTGCCACAACGATGCCACCGAAGGTTGCAGGAACAGCAACTCATATTCCGCTTGGGAACCCTGCAGCCCAATGGTATCAATGTGGATTTCACAAGTTTCAAAATCTCCCCTCCCCCTACCGCATCCCAAAACCAGTCCAGCTCGTCCCCGCCTCCCTAACCTGTTCTTCCTCCCACCTATCCCCTCCTCCCACCTCAAGCCGCACCCCATCTCCTACCTACTAACCTCATCCCACCCCCTTGACCTGTCCGTCCCCCCTGGACTGACCTATCCCCTCCCTAACTCCCCACCTACACTCACCTTTACTGGCTCCATCCCCGCCTCTTCGACCTGTTTGTTTCCTCTCCACCTATCCTCTCCTCTATCCATCTTCTATCCGCCTCCCACTCTCTCCCTATTTATTTCAGAACCCCCTTCCCCTCCCCCTTTTCTGATGAAGGGTCTAGGCCCGAAACGTCAGCCTTTCTGCTCCTATGATGCTGCTTGGCCTGCTGTGTTCATCCAGCCCTGCACCTTGTTGTACCGGACATTCACGCCAGCTTAGCACAATACCTGTGGCATCAAAATGGGGTCACGCCACCAAAACATTTGGGACGCAGTTCCCGATGGGGAGAATACAATACTCTTCCATTTCCCGTGACTGAAAAACATAAACCAATTGAAATCTGAGAGGATGTGGATTCCACCCAATATTGAGCCCCGTGCACAGGTGGTCTATGTCTTACACTTCCTTGTCCGCAGAAATATTTACAGATCTTTAGAATTACAATGATGTGCTTGAGTTTTATTATTCTCACTTAGAATGTCTAGATTGAAAGAAACCTAGTTACCAAGACACTTGCAATGAATTCTTCTTGGGTGGCTATATGTACCAATGATATACCTACATTTGCTAGAATTTTAACTGATCAAAGGAAATACCAAGTAGAAGAAATTTTCTTGCATGCAGAGCAGCTACAACTCTATTCTTTACCAGGTAAAGTGAAAATTATAGGGTAAGACCACAAGCAAACAGGACAAATCCGATTTAATCAATTACCATTCTATTATTCTACTTTTGATCATTAGCAAAGTGATGACAGATGTCCGATAGGGTGCCTATCAAATAAGCTGCATTGCTCTGGAAGCCACTAGCCTTGAGTTATTGAAGTTACATTTACACAGGCAGACAGGTAATATTCATCACACTCCTCGTTTGTATCTTACAGATGGTGGACAGATGGTCAGGGCTTTGAGTCAGGAAGAGAATTACTTGCTGCAGAATTCCCAGCCAGTAAACCTGTTTTTCTAGCCACAGCAGTTATAGTGGACAATTCAGTGATGATAAGGCTATTGAGTGTGAAGTGTTAGCTTCCCTCTTGTAGGAGAGGTCATTACATGGTGGCATGATTTTTCCTTGCTACTTATCAGCCTAACAGTTTTCTAGGACTTCTTGCCTGTTGGCATGGACTGCCTCATTATATGAGGAGTTGAAAATGGACTGTAAGTTGTGTAATATTCATTGAACCTTCCCACTTTGTGGATAGGCACCCTATCCTTTGTGTTAAAGGATATGATGCAGCTAAAGACTGTAGGGCCTAGGATATTGGTTTGAGGAACTTCTATAGTGATTTCCTGAGGCTGAAATGTTTAGCCACCAAAAGCTTCAAATAGCTTTCTTTGTACTAGGTTTGCCTCCAACAAGTGGAGGGTTTTCTTCTGACTCCCAATCCCATTCCCATTGACAGAGTTGTCAAGCGCTACTTAATCACCAATAATCTGCTCACTAATGCTCAGCATACGTTCTGCCAGGGCGACTTAGTTCCAGACTTGATTACAATCTTGTTCCAAGAAGAAAACAGCAGAATTCCAGAGGCAAAGTGGAAATTACTGCCCTTGAAATTAAGGTGGCATTTGACTGATTGTGACATATAGGAAATCTAATATGATTGATGTCATTGGGAGTCAGGAGGAAACCCTCTACTGGTTGGAGGCATATCTAGGACAAAGAAAGATGGTTGTGGCTTTTGGCAGTCAATCATCTCAATCTCAGGAAATCACTGCAGAAGTTTCAAAAAGCAGTATCCTAGGCTTCACAATCTTTAGCTGCTTCATATCCTCTAACACAAAGTGCGAATGGTCAATGAATATTGCACAATTTTCAGTTCCATTTTCAACTCCTCAGATAATGAGGCAGTCTGTGCCACATGCAACAACTCCTAGGAAACTCTTACACTTGGGCTTATAAGTAGCAAGGAAAAATCATGCCATGAGCACACCATTTAATGACTTCTCCTGCAAGCATGACTCTAACCCTTAACATTCAATGGCCTTATCCTCACTGAATCCTCCACCATAAATGTCATGGCCAGTAAAGCAGGTTAGGGGTTTGGGAATTCTGCAGCAAATCATTCACCACCTGACTTCCATACCCCTGATAATCTGTCCACCAGTATAAGGCACAATCCATTAGTGTGATGGAATACTCTCCACCTGCCTGTCTAATGTAGCTCTAATATATTCAAGAAGCTTGTAGGTCTCCAGAACAAAGCAGCCCATTTAATAGGCATCACATCTGACGTCTTCACTCACTCCACCCATTGGTGCACAATGCAATAGGGTGCATCAAAAACAAAATGTATGGCAATGCAATTTGGCAAGATTGCTTTGACAGCAACTCCCATACCAATGACCTCTACTACCTAGTAAGACAAGAAAAGCATTTGCATTAGAACAACACCGTATTCCACTACACACCATTTTGACTTGGAAATAATTCATAGTTCTTTCATTATCACAAGGTGAAACTCCAAGAATCCCTCTCTAACGTCATTCAAGGTGTCCCTGCACCACATGGTCTACAACAGATCAGCAAAGCAGCTGATAGCCACCCTTACCAAGAGCAATTAGAGATAGGTAATAAATTTTAACCTTGTCAGCACTGACCAAACCCAATTCCATAAATTAGATTTAAAAGTTACACCATCATTGTAAGTGCAAACTAGATTAATGATTACAAGAGGTGGATTTCCTATAGGAGAAGAATGTAGATGAGGAAGAACAGACTGATGGAGCAAAACTGCCCAATGGATAAGTTAGTTATGTTTTGTTTCTTGTTTCCATTATAACAGAACCATTTGAAGATGCTTTGAAACTTCAAGCAGACGGGCAGTTTTCAAACAAACCTTTATCTCTTCCATCTGACAGTCCTCATTTATCTAAGACAACCACAGCAACAGTGAAGGAATGCCTTGAGGAGGAACCATGGTATCATGGGGAAATGAGCAGAAAGGATGCAGAACAGCTCCTGGCAACTGATGGTGACTTTCTGGTTAGAAAAAGTACGACCAACCCTGGATCCTATGTATTAACAGGCATGCATAATGGTCAGGCTAAACATCTCCTCCTGGTAGACCCGGAAGGAATTGTAAGTAACCACACTGAAAACATGTAATGTTAATAGTTTGACTTTCTGAAATTCTGGGATAAGTAACTACATTCAGTTTTAAAATTTTCTTCTGAGGGATCTGTATTACACAACAGAATGCATTGATTTTTATTTTCTTAGTGGTAATTTTAAAATAGGTTTCATACAGAGATCATGTTTTTAATGTTTAAAAGTGAATGATGACATGATAGTAAAGAAATTTGAGGTGGGAGTAGACTATTTGGTCCTTTAAACCAGCTTCCATTCAAAAGATCATGACTGATGTTAAACCTCAATTGCATCTTGTAATCTTCCTTTAGCACTTGATTTGACAGTATCTGAAAGTATATCAATCTTTGTCTTGAATACCCTCAACATAGGAACATCCATAACTTTCTGGCGCAGAGATTTCCAAAAATTGACAATGCTTTGAGTGAAAAATGTATGCCTCATACTAGTCCTAAATGAGTGACCCTTTATTCTAACATCATGACCCTTCGTTTTCTGCTCACATCCCCCCTGTAAAGCTTCTGAAGAATTTTATGGACTGAAACTTAATTTGTTCTGTTGAGTCATGTTTCTTGGATGGTTTTTCATTGTAAAGCCTTCTGACTTTTCTTGCTGTGTCTTACCACGCCCACCTCATTAACTGCCTACGCCCTATGGTGTCCTTTATGTCTGATTCCAGCCCCATGCAGTAATTCTTCCGCATCAGCGAAATCATGAATCGTGAAATCACCTATTTGCGCCATAAAAAGTTACCAATCATTCAAAATCCATAGACAAAACTTGCCTGTCTGTGACCACTTTCACATATGCAGCAATCCTGCTCTCGCTCTCCGCCTGTTCCAGTATGCAGCTCTTCCACTCAACCCTCCACGAGGAAGGACGTTGGTGCTCGGGAGGTTGAGGCTACCTGCTAGTAAGAGTTAGGGAAGGTGGTAGTATTATCGGGAAAGAGTGGCCGGGAGGGAGGCACACATACACCGTCCACCCTCTCCCACACCCAATAAGTACCCATAAGCTCCCCCAACAACGCCCGAACCTGATGCACAGAATTTACCGGTTTTATCGGTAAGTTACAATACACTATAATTGTTTTAATTTTAATCTTTTAAATCTATTTTTTGTTTGTGTTTATTATTTTAACCCCAAACAAACCTGGCGTCCGGGAACCTAACCCTATTTTTACCATAATTTATAAAGCTCTACACTCTCAAATTCATCATTCGCTGGGGTTTTCAGGAACGGATATGGAGAAATTACCACCCTCTATTCCCGCAACAGTTTGTTACTGCTGGGACAACCTGGAATTGGCCTGTATCCCTTACGCCCACACCATCTTTAAAAGCACAAGTACCAGCACTGTTAGTAGAGAGCTGCCCTGCACAGTTTTTGACAATTGTCTTGGACGTGGCAGAGAGGGAGAAATCGGTGCTCTGTTTTGCAGACAGGGACCTAGTGGACAGAGTGGCCTAGAAACGAGGTTTCCTTCTCCACACTCCCGCCGCAACCACCCTCCCCACCCCGAGCAGCAGAGAGGGCCACAACACCAGACCATGCTAATATTGTCCAAGGTGGCATCCTGGGGTTAAAGCAGTCTCAGCCATTTCGACGAATGTCCAGCACTCTAGAAAGATGGCCAATAACCTTCTGTGTTCTGCCAGCGTAAGTAACATCCCTTTTCTCCAATACCTCACTCACTCAATCTCTGCTACTGAACTCACCCCTCACCAAGACCATGGTCTACCATTCTTACTAATTACTTGCAACACCTTTCCTCACTCGCTGTCACCCTTCCCAACCCCTGACAGCACTAACTTTACATGCCTTCCACACTGCCACTCACTCATGCAGGACACCTCCCCACCTGCACCAGAAATTACAGTTGTGCCACCCACTTTCATCTCCCTTAATACCTGCCTCTCTCTCATTCCAGGAGGAAACTAATACCCAATAGGGTAGAAAGAGTCAAGATGGGTGGTGTGTTGCCTGACATATATCTCCTCAACCCTATGTAGAAAAGTTCCTGACTGACTGTGCTGCTGACAATGTCCAAGCCCCTGGACTGATATCAGAGTGTGTCTTTAACTTAGTATGCAGAAACATCCTGAATAAAGGAATTAACTTGATTTGAGTGAGCTGACAGCCATGACAAGTTTGCTGCCTTTGTACGTGCGGTAAAAGTGTTGGGTCTCTGCCTGAGGGTTTAAAGTGCAAAAAGGCAATGCAAAACAGGGATAGTAGGAACTGCAGATGCTGGAGAATCTGAGATAAAAATGTGTAGAGCTGGATGAACACAGCAGGCCAAGCAGCATCAGAGG